CCAGGCACTGTGCTAGGTACTCATTCATTGTCTGCGCATTCATTATCTCATTCATGTGTCTATCTGGCACCCAGTAGACACTCAGTAAGTATCAGTTGCATAAACAATCCTTTACGGTAAGTCCTATCATTCCCCCCCCCCATGTTATATACGTGAGAAACAAGGAAGAGGGAAGTTCTGCCCAAAGTCATGGCGCCATAAGTGGAGGAGAAGAGTGCAGATTTAAACCTGACCTCACTGCAAAACTCCTGCATGGCCCTCGTGCCTCCCTGCCTCCAGGTGTCCATTTTCTTTCCCTATTATCACTCTGTATTTCATCTCTGTGCTCCCTTTCAGTTTGTAAACTATGTAATTTTTCTCCATCCTTGACCATCATTTGACACTATTTTTCCAGACCCTGAGAATTTATTGTTCCTTCTCATTTTGTGGGGGATGGGTGGATGGTGTTGTTTATAACATTTTACCCATCTTAGAAGTCAGTATCTGTATCATCCAGATATGCCACACATGAGGGCGCCACTTCATTTGGAATGTTCCTTACATTTGAAAGCAGGACTATTCTCAAGTAACTGACAGGAACCTAATCAGGTCCTTGACATTCATATGGGAGAAGACTCGAGACATTTTGCTGCTTTATTAATAGAAGTTTATAAATGGTTGGGAAAATCTCTAAAGAAATGGATTGAATGTTTCATTCCTTCAACTGGCATTTATTATGCATCAATTTTTTTATGTATCAGGAGCTCTTTGAGGTGCTGGAAAGATACAAAGACCAATAAGACAGAGATTCTGGATGCAGAGTTTATAGTCTAGTCTGGAGACACATACAGCCTACATTCATTATTTGTGGATTCTGTATTTGTGAATTTCCCGACTTGCTGATCTCAAAATCACTACTCTTGGTACTTCTGTGTCATTTGTCAACATGCACCAAGCAGCGAAAGTTTGAGTCACCGAGGAGCGTGTTCCTAGCTGAGGTTGACTAAGGCAAAGTTCTGCCTTCTTATTTCAGCTCTCATACTGTAAACAAGTGCTCTTTTTGTGGTCTATGTAGTACCATGTTTTTCACATTTTTGTGCTTTTTGTTGGTAATTTCACGGTCTAAAATGGTCCCCAAGCAGAGCGCTCAAGTGCTGTCTAGTGTTCCTAAGTGTGAGGCTGTGATGTGCCTTACAGAGAAAATATGTGTGTTAGACGAGCTTCATTCAAGCATGAGTTACAGTGCTGTTGGCTGTGAGTTCAATGAATGAATCAACAGTATATATTAAATAGATGTTTTTAAGCAGAAACACACATAAAACAAGGTTATATACCAATGAGTTGATGAAAATGTTATCACCGGAAGCTCACAGGAACCTAACCTTGAATTTCCCCTAGGAGCAATGGCTCAGTATTTGCTAGGTCAGAGTTTGTGGTGACTTCATAGAACAGCTACTGGGAATAACAGAAATCAACCACATATAAATTTATCAGATCCACACAGCTTTATGAGTGATATGATAAAGGTATGAATGCAATACCATGAAAGCCAGCAAGAAAGAACATTTGACTTGGCCTTGGAGAGTTGAAGGAGGCATTATAGAGGGGTTGCTTTAGAGCCAGGATTGTAAAACTGAATAGAAACTCAGTGAATGAGCCAGGATGGAAGGTCATTTAAGGCAGAGGAGAACCATGTGCAAAGAAAGGGAGGTCTGAAAGAGCCTAACACACTCAGTGATTTAAAAAGTGATGAATTCAACTGTGTTAAGTCATAGGCTCCAATTCAGCCACAGGCAAGGATTTTCAGCTATTACCAAGTTTCTCTACATAGTTTGGGCTGTGATGTTTTGCAACAAGGAAGTGTGCAGTGTGTCAGCCATGAAAATTGGCTCAATATTCATCATCAAATCTACTATGCTCCCTCTGAAGTCTAGGCCACGTTTCTGTAGAAACCTTTAGTTACATAAAGGAACCCTGGCCTGTAACTGGCAAGAAAACCCACCAGCTTTGGAAGCCATTATAGTAATGCCAAAGGGAAAGCACTGTATAATTCCTGGGGAACCAAGTGAAGTGGGAGGGCAAAATAAAGACTCCTTCCCGTGGAGTAGCAAGCAGAGAGAACTGCAGGGGTTCAGCCTCCGCTCGAAGTCCTCATCTATGAATCAACCCCACCAACCACCGAGTCTGAAATGAGCACTTACTGTATGGCCAGCGTTATTCAAGGCACTAGGAGGCAACACACACACACACACACACACACACACACGCACACACATGCACACAACTATTCTTTCTTTCACAGCTACAAAGAGTTGACATCAGCCCTCACATCAACCTTCTGAGGTAAGTTTTATTATTATAATTTTAGAGATGAGAAAACTGAAACTCTAAAGGCCTAAGTAACTTGGGTTCACACAGCTAGTGAGTGACAGAATCAGAATTTATGCTCAGCTTTGACTCCAAATAAAATGGGGGTTTTATCTGTGTCTCAGATAAGATCCTTGTCCTCAAGAAACTTGCATATGTGATGAATTGAGGAGTAAGTGGCTCAGATTGTCAACTTTATAGGAATTCAGAAGAAAGAAGTGTGAGCCTATACTCCACCACTGTCCTGAAGGCATCATTAGCATTGGAACCAGTGGTCTTTAGTAGCTGGAGATGGAGGAGGGAGACATCCGAGGTACGTATATATTTATACACATGAGCAAATGTTCAGAAGCAGAAATGTCTTTCGAAGGAAGAAGAGGAGCTATGCTGTGAAAGGGAAATCTAATTTGTCCAGGGATTTAGAAGGAATGTTCTACCTGTCCTAGGATGGATCTCAGTGGATGGAGAGGAGCCCTGGATGGGATCAGCCCTTGTTGTTTTGTCTCCAGAGGGGATGCCCATCATTTGCAACCTTATTGTTCATTCAGTAAATATTATTGTGAACCAGTTTGTGCCAAGGATCATTCTCAGCACAGCAGATGCTTCAGAGAATGTGTTTCCAAATGTGAAGGAGCGGAACCTGGTGCATGGAGAGCGGCACTCAGCCCCTGGTTCATGATGGTAGTTCTCTCCTGATCATTCTCACTGCTGCCTCCTTTTCTTCCTCCAGCCCCCTACCAGTCTCTTTATTTGTGGCTCCAGTCAAGGCTGTCTGGGCCCTGGGAGCTCCCAGGATCAAGTGCAGCCTTCTCAGGCTGCTGTTCAGGGGCTCTACTCTCAGCCTCACTTTGTCCAGCCCTTGGTACTGTGACCACACCGGACCTCTTCCCACCTGAGCGCCTCCTTTGTCCCTCTACCTGGAGTGCCCTTGACCCCATTTCCTGCCTACTGAAGTCTTATCATCCCTCAAGGTTCAGCTTAAAAGGATCTGAACCCAATTTTCCCCAATCACAATGAACTCCTTCTTGTCCTGAGCCCACAGAGCAAATACCTCTATCTTAGCCTGTTTCCTATTCTGCCTTGTCATAAACTGGGCTGGCAACCAGTCTGTCTACTCCTCAGGCCAGGGACATGTGTCCTGATTCCATCGTTTAGCACTGTGCCTGACACTTTGTCCAAGCTCAAGACATCTCTTTAAAACAATAAATACATGACAAGGATGTCCTTGAAATTAGAACAGTTGGGTTTAAATTTAGTTTAATTAAGACATTAAGGTTCATTTTAAAAAATGTATATTGTGAATAAAAACCACTGAAATTTAGTCTCAACCTACTTGCCCCCTCATTGACAGTTTAATTTCACTGTAATCTTTATCATGTATGGCGGTGTAGCAAGAAGGATTTTTCCATAGAGCCACCCAAAGTAAAAATGGATCGTCCTTGCGGGGATTCACAACAGGGTCTGGTCCAGGTACCGGCACCTTGACTGACACAAATAAAAAATGGGGACGTGTTCATTCTGACCCGAAAGACCCCTACCCATTGGGAGACTGTTTCATTCTAACTAGACCATGCCCTCCTGGCCCTTGTCTGAATTCTTGCCAAAACTCAGAGCATGAGCTGTGCTGAGCAGCTCATGGAAGCTCTTCAGACTGATTGTCAGAGTCTGGAGGAGGCTGGGATGGCATCAAGTCCTGCAGGGGACCCGGGGACTCAGAAAGTAAAAGGACTTGGCCAAGGTCTCCTGAAGCTTTCTGCACTCCAGGACCTGGGCGCCTTATGTTGCCACCCGCACATTCCTGCAGCAACTGACACAGCCCCCAGCATATGGCTTGGCCCATTGTAGGGGTTTGATAAAGTTTCATGATTGACTGGGAAAGGAAGCAGGAGAGGCCTGGGCCTGCAGAAGGGCCCCCTCAACAGGAGCTCTGACTCACAACCTGTTTGGCACTGCGCGGCCCTCTCTGGTTTCCTGAATCTCTCTCTCTAATGGCAGATGTTTTAAAACAATGATCACGACAATGACACTGTAATCCCCTACTTTCCCTTGCATCATAGAATTTTTTCAAGTGTTTTTGCAGACTTGCTCTTAAGGGTAATTACATTTTTTGGACTAGGTATTTGCAAAAACTTTTTTTGGTGGTCCCATCAGATAACGGCGGCCCCCAGGGCTGGGAATCTGTTAATAGTATGTGCGGGGAGGACACGGCAGAAAGCTGGGATCAGGAGTCAGACTAATTAGGGAGTGGGGTGGAGTTTGGGACGGCTTGACTGGGTGCATGAGCAGTAATGTGAGGGCGGGTGTGCGTCCAGGGGTGGATCAAAGGGCCTTTCTCCCGTCTTTTTTTTTTTTTAGAGGAAGAGTGGGTACGGAGGGATTCCGTGTGTAGAAGCAGCAGGGGCACATCCGGGCTTCCTCCTGGAGGGCAAAGCCAGCGGCCAAGGCCTAGAAAAGGGCAGGGGTTTCTGCGTGCGGAGATGGTCTGCACAAGGGATCTGGCGCGGGTCTGCGGACCCTGCCTGGAGACGGCGGGGGTGGGGCTCCCCGGGGGCCGGGGCGGGGCGGCCGCAGCCGGCGGGGCTGGAGGCGGGGCTGAAGGCGGGGCGGGGCGAGGCGAGGCGGGGCGGGGCGGGGCGGGGCTCCGGGGCCGTCTCGCAGGCTGCGGCGGCCGCGGGAGAGGCGTCCACAGCGGTGGCGGCTGGGGCAGCGGCAGACCGGCGGCCGAGCAGGGCGGCGGCGGCACGGGGTGAGCGGGGCGCGGGCCAGGCGGGGGCGCGGCGGGGAGCGCGGCCGGGGGCCTGCAGGGAAGCGGGCTCGGGAGGCGCCCGGCGAGCACTGCCATCCTTCCCCAGCTCCGGACGCAGCCTTCGGGGGAGGGCGGGAGGGAGAGCCGAGGACCCAGTCCCTTAGCCCTTCTCCAGAGATCGCCGTCCAGATGTCCGACTAGGCGCCCCACTGCCCCTTCTCCCGAGGACAGCCTCCTGCTTGTGTTCCAGGTCACCTCCCTCGCCCCTCAGCCACTCAACCTCCTGCCCCAACCCCCAACGCCAGGTATCTTCAGCTCCAAAGCCATTCTTCCAGGAGACCCCCGACTCTGCTTCCCCATGCCCACCACCAGAGGCCCGGCTCCCCAGCACTCTCTACAGCCCCAGAGGCAGAGATGACCCCCGTCCCTAGGGCCTGCACACCTGGACTCTAATGCTGCCACCTGCCAGGGACTCTTCCTAGCCAGCCAGCCAGCTGCTGTGCACCGCACCCAGGCCTCCTTGCCATCACTCTCCTCCATCTCAGAATCCCAGTCTGAAGAAAGGGACTTGACGGGTCCTGAGCTTTGGGAACAATTTGACCCACTTCCCAAAAGGCTGATTCCGGGCCAGCCTGGCTATTTGGTGGAGACACCTGTCTTGCCTGCCAGCCGAAGGACCGACCGGTCTCTGGCAAAACGGGCCAGCGGGTCCCTGGGTCCTCCTCCAAGCTGTCCTGACTTGCTGGCCAGTGCCCCCAGAGACCAGGACCAAGAGCTTTGCCATTTAAGACCTCCAGATCTCTTTGCTGACCCCACCCCCAGTTCCCCAGAATTCCGCCCCTGCTGGTGGGAGTGTAGGGTCCAGCGCTGATGGGCCACCATCCTGGCCCTGGCCTCCCCTCCCATGCCCTTGTTTCCCGGCTGCCTGCTCCCCGGGGAACCCAGGGCAGAGTAGTGGAGCTGGGATTCAGGGTCTCGGTCTCCCCCCCAGCCCTCTGGCCTTCCTTCCTTTCCCTGTTAGAAACTTTTCCCCTCTTTCGCTGGTCACCATCACTCCGGTTGGGCCTGGGCCATCTGCACAGTGCTGTGTCCCCAGGGCACAGAAAGCTGGGCTGGGACCACGGAGGGCTGGGACGTGTGCTGGGCCAGCACGAGGAGGGTGGCTGCTAGCCAGGTCGGGCTGGGCGTCTGGGCCCGGGGGCCAGAGCTTTAGGGTGGGTCGTTGGCTTTCACTGAGCCCCAAAGGGGGTCCAAGGGCTTGCTTTGCTGTGAAGAGAGAGGGCAGAGCAGGGGCTGTTTTTCCTGCCTGCTTCTGTCTTGTGTTGCTATGGTGACAGTTTTGCCTCTCTTCCTTCTTCTGACTCTTCTGGGAGCTGGTTTTTATTGGTCTGTTGTTCTGTCTTTTATGGCTCTAATTTCTCCTTTCTATTTGCTCTGAAATAAACAGTCATAAACATGGGCGCTGGGCCCAGGCTGGGGGCTGGCAGAACTTCACCTCTTCCTGGCCCCAGGCTCCTGTGAGAGGAGAGTAGGGGAAAGAGGTGGGGACAGACCTGGCCACACTCCCTCCTGCCCCCAGCTCTGGGAGGGCGGCAGAGGCATCACAGTCTCAGGCACACAGTGGGTAGCCCGCTGCCTCGGTGCTAATAATAGATCCAAGTGTGATGGAGAAGCCCGCTAATGTTGATTTCCTTTCATCTTCAAGGCAGCTCTGTGGGGTAGGGGCCGTCCCCACTCTGCAGATGCCAAAACTAAGCTCAAAGTGAGCTATTTCCCTCAGGTCACTCTGCTTTTAGCACATCGTCTGTGCTGAGATTTTGTTGAATGGATGGAAAAGTGATGGAGCTGGCGCGCAAAAGCCCAGCTCGCTGCCTGGCCACCCCGAGGGCTTCCAGGTCCTGCTCCCAGAGGACCAACAGAGCTCCCCCAAACCCATGTGCTGGGAGACTCCTTGAAGGGTTTTCCCCCGTTTCCCCGCTGGACTCCCATGGAGGCCACTGCCAGAGAGCGGCCTGTCAGGTCCCTCGCGCACCTTTGACCCCACTGTTGGGGACTCAAGTTGGGAGGAGAGTCAAGGCACTTGTGACTTCCTGTTTTTGCTCAGCACCCAGAAGCGTTCAGTTTGCTTTTACTCTCAGGGCTTAGATGCAGCCGGGTGAGCCGGGGACACTGAGAACCCAGGAGACCTTCCCAAGTCAGCCCTGGGCGAGGAGTTCGGAGCTGTCCGGCCCTGGGTCACCGGCGGTCAGCTGTCAGCGACACCCTCCAGAGAAGCTGCCCCCCTTTTCCCTTTTATTTTTCCCTTCACTACACACTCTTTTCTTTCCCATCCCTCCCCTTTCTCCCTTCACGTTGCCAGTGCTCTAGGCCTGTCAGTAATGAGCTGGAAAAGCACCATAGTAGCATGAAAAAACCAGGGAGTCGGCAGCCTTCATTGTCAAATTCCAGCCCTGGGGCAGTCAGTTCACTCACTTGGGCCTCAGTTTCAACCTTTCAAATGGGGTTGATAGCATCTGTCTGAATGGTTACATTTGCTTGTTTTTGTAGGATGGAATGGAGTAGTTTACAGGGATTGCTTTACAAAGTTGAAAGCCTGAAGGGCTCATAATGTTCTCCTCCTGTTGAGAGGTGTCACTGTTAAAGAAACCCCAGACCACTGCCCAGAGGTGAAGAACTGATTTAGGAGTAATTAAGCTGTAAAATCTGAGGAGTAGAGGCTTTCTCTAGTCATCTTGTCCAGAGTTGATGCTGAATCAATCCATTTCTTTATTTATGCGCCTTCCATTAACTGAGCATCTACTCTGTACCAAATACACTTTGGGGAACTGGGGATTTAAAAAACATGAACACTATTTCTGTTTTCAAAGAATGTAGTCTGGGGGTAAAGACAGTCATGAAAAGAGATCCTTATAATACCTTCGAAGAAGTGGTGTGATCGGGAAAAAGGCAGGGAGATGTGAAGCCCAGAGATGGTGACTTGACTAGCCACCCACCCCTTTATGGTTGAATCAGGCAGCCTGTACTTTGCGGCTGAAATACAGCTCTCTTAGCACCGCCCACCTGGCAAGCCCTCAGTCAGGCCCTCGCAGCGATGGATGGGTGATGACTCCCGAGCCCCTCAGTTCTGTGAGCAGTGTCGGGGGAGAGAGGCATGTGGCAGGAGCCAGCCCTGCCTTCCTTGCTGAGTCTTTTTTTTTTTTAATTTATTGGCTGCGTTGGGTCTTCGTTGCTGCTCACGGGCTTTCTCTAGTTGCAGCAAGCAGGGGCTGCTCTTCGTTGCAGTGCGCGGGCTTCTCATTGAAGTGGCTTCTCTGGTTGCAGAGCACAGGCTCTAGGCGCAGGGGCTTCAGTAGTTGTGGCGTGCGGGCTCTAGAGCGCAGGCTCAGTAGTTGTGGTGCGCGGGCTTAGTTGCTCCACAGCACGTGGGATCTCCCCGGACCAGAGCTCGTACCCATGACCCCTGCATTGGCAGGTGGGTTCCCATCCACTGTGCCACCAGGGAAGCCCCCTTGCTGAGTCTTCACTCATCCACTCATAGTAGCCTCTGGCTCCTATTTCATCTTGGTCAAAATCCTTTCGCAAAGGCTACATGAATTACCTGACAAGGCAACATGGTGACTGGGAAGAAAGCGGACTTTGGGAACCAGCCATGAGCTCAGACTGTACTGCTACTGTGTCCTAAGTGTGGGATCCTGAGGGAGTATCTAACCTCTCGGAGCCTCAGTTCTTGTACCTGTAAAATGGCAATAATGAGACTTGCCTTCTAGGAAGTGAATGATCTTATGTATTTATAGGGTCTGGCATGGGGCCCACTTCACACTTGCTGTTATTTAGTTACACTGATTAGGAAAGAGTTCTCAGTTACTGGGCCTCTGGGTCCTCTTAGAACCATGGTGGGGAGCTCTTTGGACTAATTCTGGCCTTCAGAGATCCATTCATTATCTGGGAAGGTTAAAGATTGCACACGCTCAGGTTCTAAGCACTGCTGGTTAATCTTTGAGTTATCTCTCACCAGATAAAATAATGTTCTACAACATGGCGATACTGCAAAGCAGCAACACTTTGATTTCCTCAAAGGGGAACAAATTTGAAATGGCAACAAACACGCTGAGTTTCAAAAACATGTTACTCTGAGAATACTTTAATTTGATGTAATCCCACTTGCTTATTTTTGCTTTTGTTTTCTTTGCTTTTGGTGTCAAATTCAAAAAAATCATGGCCAAGACCTACATCAAGGAGATTACCACCTGTGTCTTCTTCTAGAAGTTTTATGGTTTTAGGTCTTGCATTCAGTCTATGTTTTGAGTTACTTTTTGTGTATGGTGTAAGATAGTGGCCCAGTTTGGTTCTTTTGCACATGGCTGTCGTTTTCCCAACACCATTTATTGAAGAGACTGACCTTTCCCCATTGCATGTTCTGGCTCCTCTGTCAGACAATACTTTAACATGAATGCTTCACATTTTTTATTCTGGGCATGTTTAGCTTCCTGTTCTTTTTTTTAAGTTACCCTATCTATGGATAGATATTTTCTCAAACCATCACTGCAGCTCTGTGACATTAGTATTATCATGCCCTTTTGACAGTAAAGGAAACTGGGAAAGGTCCCTTGCACAGAGTCCGGCAGCTAGCAAGTGGCAGGGTCAGAATTTAGAACTGGGCCTGACTTGCTATTCATGCTGGCGTACACAGCCTTGTCATCTCCTTGGCTGGCATGTCAGTGATTTAAAATAATTGTGTTTGGAGTATGCAAGCAGATTTTAACGGCGGTGGAACCGGTCAGGGCTGTAACTCGGACCCATAGTAAATATTTAGAGACTTTATTAGGGTTTTGTTCTCAGCACAGCGTGAACGAGGCTTTCGGCAGTTGGCTGAGGCTTGGTTCCTAGAAGTGGTGAAGAGAAGAGGAGTTTGGCGTGTCCGAGTTCAGAAAAAATGTTTGGTGATGCTCAAAGTAGCTTCCTTTGCCCAAGAATGCGTTGCTAGTTTGTCGCTGAAATAA